CTCAATATGAAAATCAGTTTTAAGTTTTTTTTATGTATCTATGCTCCCACCAATGCAGTTGAAAGAATGGGTTTTTTAAGTATATTATGTAAAGCAATAAGTGATTGTAACACTGAATATTTGTTTTTAATAGGAGGGGACTTTAACTGTATCTGACTTTAACTGGAATCATGTTGAGCCCCATATGGCGTCTCGAAAAAGACTTCTTCAATTAGTAGAAATGCATGATTTAACAGACATATGGATACATTTTCATAAGACACAGAGGCAGTATACTTGGCTTCATTCATACAATAATATGTTGTCTTTAGCCAGGTTGGACAGATTTTATGGTTTTAGTCATCAACCTAATATTTTCAAAGATTGTTCTATTATTCCAGTCAGTTTTTCAGATCATAGTTTAGTGCATTGTTTTTTAACTTTGGGATCCATAAAACCTAAGAGTGCGTTGTGGCATGTTAATAATAGTTTATTATCTGATTTGGAATTTATGGATATTTTTACGTTTTTTTGGAATGACTTAAGAACCAAAAAGTCTGATTTCCAATCATTGCAGCAATGGTGGGACTTCGGTAAAATACAAATTAGACAATTGAGTCAACAGTATGCTTGCAACATCACCAAAGACTTAACTAATTTAATGGTAAATTTAGAAGAAGATATAAAGAAACTTCAAGAATCTATTGATACTGAACAAAATCAAGAGCTTATTGGAATTTTAGACAAAAAAAAGAAAGAATCGGCTGAACTTTTAAACCTGAAAGCCCAAGGGGCTCTGATCAGATCCCGTTTCCAGAATATAGAGTGGATGGATATACCTTCAAACATTTTTTTTAATTTGGAGAAAATAAATGGTCAAAAAAGTATATATGGCATACACTGTAAGGATGGAGCACTCTTGTTGAATCATACAGAGATTCGTAAGAGGGCAGTAGAATTTTATGAAGAACTATATAGCAGTGAGCTTTCACACAGGTCAGACAGTGATCATATGTTTATTGAAGGTCTTCCTCAGGTATCGAATGATGCCAATGGCGAGCTTTGTAGAGTGTTGACTTCAGAAGAGCTACAGAAAGCTCTTCAAAGCATGGAATGCGGCAGAGCACCAGGAATAGATGGCCTATATGCAGACTTTTATAAGTCTTTTTGGCCTGAGATTGGTGCAGATCTGCTTGCAGTCATCAATGAAATTTGAGTAGTGGAAGATTACCACTCAGCTCCCACAGAGATACCATGGTGCCGACGGTGATGGCTGCCTCCGTGGCATGCTCCGCAGTTGTTTTTATGTTTTTGTTAGTTTGTCCTGTCTTTAGTTATATCCCTGCAATCAGTTTCACCAGAGACGAATTGCTGGATATTCGGAAGTACACACCACCCGATATTTCACCGGTTTTCGTCAAGTTACCTATTTATTATTGTAATTTATTTAAAGTGTGTTCACTTTTTACAGTATTGAGATGTGAAAATACTGACTCTTTGTATTGGACTTTACAAGAACCACTGATTTTTGGTTCACGTTTGGATGTGTCGAACGAAAACATTTTTCCTGTTTTGACAGACTTACTTATCAAGTCTCATGTCACTACTCTTGGGAGGCTAATTCATATAATTGGACCTGAAATTTCTAACACCAAAGCAATGGTGGAAAAGTTAAGTCTGAAGTCAAAACGAGTAATAACTCAACTGTTGACTAAGTGGAAAGAAAACATTACTGAAGAAGAACTTAAAATGATCAAAGACTTTGCAGAAGGGCAGACTCGGCCTGAGAAAGATGAATTTGTGTATAGTACCTGATTTGGAAATGTGTAATGGGTTTCTTTTAAGGTGTAATAATTTAGTTTTGTCAGGGAAAGGGAGAGCATCTAGTAAAGAAATGCATAGATGTTGTGTCAAAGTTTTCAACAAAAAAAGTCTTGATGGAAAAATAGATATCCCATAGGCGTAATGGTTTTTATACTGTACAGACTGTATATTCTATTGCCCTTTACCAACCCTACCCCTAAACCTACCCCTTACAGGAGTCTTTGTGCTATTTCAGATTTTCAATACACTCCATTCTGTGTGATTTATAAGCGTTTTGAAAAGTGGGGACATACAAACACACACACACACACACACACACACACACACTGGTTTCCATGTTTGATGGGGACCAACTTTATAATCATCACTTCTGGGGACCACCCTTTCTAAAGGGTTTAGAGGTCTGAAAAATTTAGGGACACTACCCATAGCTTTGTTAGCCTATACACGACTTCAGATACCTGAATTAATGAAGTAATGACTTGACCACTCTTAATAGGGACTTCTGAAAAATCGGATGAGCATGACTTACAGGGACCAAATTTGCATATATTATATGCATATAATTTGCATAATACACACACATTCCTGTGATTTGTGGGGACCTTGCAACAATAAGTATTACTAATGACAAATAAAAGGCATTTATATGAAGTTAATCTTGACTGCATTTGTTAATTTGCTCTTAAAATGGGTTTAATCGACAACCAAGTAGAATTAATATGTTTATTAGTAGTACAAAAGTTAAAATTGTAGAAATTTAACTTAGATTAGGTTATGTGGAGATGTAGTGAGGTCTGCAAATGGTGCTAGTGATGCAAAGCTTTACTCTCGCATAAAACACCTAAGCCCAGTTTCACAGACAGAGATTAGCTTAAACCAAGACTGTAGGCCTTACTTAAATTAAGGTATTTAAACGGCTTCTATAAAATGACTTCGGAAAAAAACAACATTACTGGTGTACATCTTGAGACAAAACAATATCACTGACATATTTTAAGATCCTTCAGCTAGGACAATTAAAAAATGCATTTTTTCTGGGACCAGCCTTAAGCCTTGTCTGTGGAAGCAGGGACTAGTGTTGTGCATGTAATCCATCTCCTCAACATGTAGAATTTTGGTTGGATTGACTGATTGATGGTTCCTATGTTTGATTGGAATCATCAGTGTGACTGGAGTGGACTGATGTTGCAGTGAACAAGTTCTTCATTCATATGCAAAGGATTGTTTGTGAGTAGTGAACTAGTGATTAGAAGTTTATATTAATATGAATTAGTAGTGAGTAGTGATTGTTTGTTGAAGCCTGGCAAGAGCGGATTCCAAATCTTCAATACTTATCTTGCTGGATCTGTCCGCTGCTTTTGACATGGTTAACCACCAGATCCTCCTGTCTTATCAGAATTTCACTATACAGTTAGGCTCATCAACCATAACTCTTTCAAAAACAGCCAGAAACCTTGGAGTTGTGATTGATAATAAGCTGAATTTCTCAGACCACATTGCTAAAACTGTCTGATCCTGCAGATTTGCTTTATACAACATCAAGAAGGTCAGGCCCTTTCTTTCAGAACATGCAACACAACTCCTTGTTCAAGCTCTTGTTCTATCCAGGCTGGACTATTGCAATGCTCTCTTGGCAGGTCTTCCAGCCAGTTCTATCAAACCTCTACAATTAATCCAGAACCCAGCAGCAAGATTAATTTTTAATGTGCCAAAAAGAAAGCACGTCACACCTCGGTTTATAAATTTGCACTGGCTACAAGTAGCTGCTCGCATAAATTCAAGGCATTATTGTTTGCCTACAAAACCACCACTGGCTCTGCATCCCTTTACCTAAATTCATTACTTCAGACTTATGTGCCCTCTAGAAGTTTGCGTTCTACAAGTGAATGTTGCTTTATTGTGCCACCTCAAAGAGGCACAAAATCACTTTCTCTGACTTTTAAATTAAATGTTCCCTCCTGGTGGCACACTCCTGGTCACGGTTGGTGGTAGTGTGAATAGCACGGAGAGAGGAACGAGGAGACCAGGAATACAAAACGAAGGAGTTTAATTAAATAACGGGGAATCACACATAGCTCAAAGAGTTGACATTGACATACAATTCCAGACAAGGGAGAACAGAATGGGCTAGAACAAAATAGGGTAGATAACGAGGGGCAGACAGGTGATGGTGATAACCAATAACAAGGACAGGTGATACTAATAATGTGAAAAGGAACTGGAAGGACCAAATAAGGAAAACAGGAACTCAACAGGAACATACATGTGACAATCTGTTTTGTTTTTATTTATTATACAATTATAATTCTGACTTTCTGACTTCTTCTGATTAACAAAAGCAAAAAAGTCCTCTAACACTAGCTTGCTCTATTCTTTTTCTATTCTATCTGTTTTATTTTTATTTATTATATGATAAAAAAAAAACCTTGCTATGTGTACTATATTAAGCGAACTGAGACTTGTTAGCACTTACACATAATTGCTCTTTTGTTGATTCTGATTGCTTCTATTGTCCTCATTTGTAAGTCGCTTTGGATAAAAGCGTCTGCTAAATAACAATGTAAATGTAGTGAATAATTGCCTGTTCCAACCCATATCATACCCACAAGTCAAACATTTAAATCTTTCCACTTCAAACAATTCTTTCTATAATTGTAATTTTCTTTTAAATAGAGTTCAGCCCCAGCCAAGCGCTCAGCATCAGCTACTCTTCATTCACCGTATACTTATCAATACAATAAACCTACTATTAATCAAACTTCAAGACATTTATTCAGATTAAAATGACTGAATTCAACTTTTATTACTTCACATAAGAACTCAAATGAAGTCAAACCTCAAAACAAAACCTGAAAAGTCCTGTATCCTAAAAGATACAAAAATAAATAAAATCATATTTTAAAAAATTATAACTTTCAACTAACACATGCTTTCTTTCACAGACTTGAATTAAAAAAGAAGAAGAAAAAGACAACTTTAGAACAACTTTTGTTAGACCAATGCTTTTCAGCTTGTGGCCTTTATCATAAAACATACTGCAAACATGAAACTCTATTTGAAATGTTGTTGGATGAAGGCCACAAGCTGAAAGGCACTGGTTTAACAATAAAGTTATTCAATTTCTTTAAGTGTTGCTGTGGATTTAACTTCTTTCAACAAAAGCTGCCATGCCAGAGAGTTGCATCTTCACAGTATTATCTGCACTGCAATTTCTTTTTGTAAGCTGTAATGCGATTATAAACGTAAAATTTTACGGTCTTCCAATTGCGGTTCCTCAGAGCTTCTGGTTCAGCTTTCAAGCATTTCTCACAGTCACTCTTTGCTGGTACAGTGCCAGATATGATGAATGGCTTCAGGTGCCTTTCCACCGCCTGCACCTCTGTCTGCTGCCAGGGAGTTTTCTTCTGGGCAGTTTTACCTTAAAGTGATCAGAAAGAAAGAAATGATTAAGAGTGTGTGCTGGAATTCCAATCTGAAGTTCTGAATCATTTAATCAGTATTTAAGTCAGCATCTATCCTTTTTCCTATGCCCCATGATGTTTTGCGCAAACTATGGGTGGAACTTCTGTTACGACGTAAACAATCATTCGCTGCAGTCACAGTGTCGCTTCTCATTCATTCATAGCAAGATGTGGAATCACACGCTGACAGAATTTATAAAGGACAACATCAACATACCCGTCCCTTCCTTAATAGAGGAATGTGAGGATGATTTAAAAAAGTGGGCTTGCATAACGTACAGTAGCATTTTTAGCTACTTTGTTGATTCAATTGCTTGTGATGGTAAGGCAATGAGCAATTTGAAAAGCTCAGAGGCGTACAAATATCTTCACAGTAATAAAGTAGGTCGTGTGCTATTCAAGGATGTGGGCAATGATTTTGTGTACTTAAAAGCTAATGTAGAGCCGAGTCAAAGCCTGAATGCATCACACCATAAAGCTTGGGTTTTAGTGTCTACGTCAGGTGTCATACAGACGGCAGGGTGCTCATGTATCGCAGGTCCAGGGCGCTCATGTAGTCACGCAGCTGCAGTAATGTGGAAGATCAGTAAAAAATACATGTGAAAAAAAAGGATGATGATGATGAGGACCCACTTTAAATAAACTGTTTAACGACTATGTACTAACATTTCAATTAATCACTTGATATAATGCACTGTGCATTGTGTAAATACATTTTTACACTGTACTTATATTTACCTGCATGTAATTACATCTAAAATTACACTGCTAACCATACCCCTTAAACCTACCCATACCATGGAACCTGTGCCAGCCTTACCCAAATTACACATCAGTGGCATCAAACGTTAAAAAAAAAATCTCAACATATGCACATACTCGTTAAAGACACCTAATATGAAGTGGGACTGATGATGATGATGATGATTGTACTTTATTATTAGTATTATCATTAGTATTAGGCTAGTAGTAAAAGCATAATCTGAGTGCTAACTAGTGTTTTACATCTAAAAGCTACAATCCTAGGGAGGCAAGAAAATAAAGAGTAAGAAAGACTATTATTTCTTCTATAAAGGTAGAGAATGCAGTCAGGCAAGGCAAGACAGGCATGTCATGCACTGATATGCAAAGGAAGGGGAGTGCAGGCACGAGGAAGAATGTAGGGCTGAGGAAGGCAAAACACATCAACTTTAAATGCCATAGACCAGGTCACACATATCCAGGCCCATCATCATTACCTCCAGGTCTAACAACTTCCCCCCAGCATTTCAAGAACCATACTGAGTTTGTAAGCAATAGCAATTCATCTGTGATGGCACCACTGCTTCAGCTGCAGACATAAGGTCTTCTTCAGCTAAGTTCAGAGCAGATGTAGGCAGCAACAAGACCAGCTCAAGTGAACGTGATACAGACATATCACACACAGACCACAGCTTAACACAAAGTTGTAGGAAGTGCCTTTTGTTTTATGAGTCCTACATAAAACTAGCACCCACCCAAGCAACTACACTAATGGAAGAAACTAAGGTCCAGAGCACCTCACAAATGTGGCATAATGCCAGAAAGCTCCGTATCACTGCCAGCACAGCAAAGAGAGTACCCAAATTACCTACTACTAACCCCAAAAAATTCCTCAATGAGCACTTCTACCCAGCCTTTAAAGGTAATACTGCTACAAAATATGGCAAAGAAAATGAGGGCAATATCATCCAACTCATGAAAAGCCGAGGGCACGCTGTGGAGAGGAGAGGCCTGGTGATCCATCCTGGACATCCTTGGTTGGCAGCTAGCCCAGATGGCATCCTAGACTCAACAAAGCTTCTCGAGATCAAGTGTCCCTTCAAGAGTTCCATGTCACTTACTGAGTTTCTGAATCGACCAAATGGTGACATCAGAAGCTTAGGTGATGGGCAGTATGTTATTCTTCCAGATGGAAAGGATGGATACTACCTCCAAGTGAGTAAAAAACAAAAACATGCATGGAGACATGTATACAACCTAACTCATAATATGCATATAGTAAAAACACTATTTAAATTAATATAAACTATAAATTATATTGTGAGCAAATTTTTGCAATCCAAATTCAATTCAATTTGATCAAATTATTGAACGTAATGAGTAATGATGCTGAAAATACAGCTTTGTACCACAGGAATAAATTACATTTTAAAATATATTCAAATAGAAAATATTTCTAAATTTTACTGTTTTTGCGAGCATTTTGATGATCGTTTCTGTCCAGTCCACTCATTTTATCACGTTTAACCACAGCTGTCGTCATTTTTTTGTCTGGCGGTGGCAGCAGGTATGCGTTAAAATGTCAAATTGGAGCCTGTATTATGTCGATTCTGGCAGCTAACATCACAACAAGATATTTTAAGCTCCTTTTGTAGTCGAATCTGTGCTGGTTTGAATTGGCCGCCTCCAGTTTTCGCTTTGTTTTGCCTCCAGCTAAACGACGTGTGACGTCGGCACAAAAAGGGTCTATAAACAACTACAGATGGGTTTCTGAGCATTATGATCTAGAAACTCATGTGTAGAGAAGAACCATTTAGAAATTCTGAAATGTTTGATGTCTGCATTTATATATGCAAGATGTATTTTGAGTGTTTGTTCATCTGCAATACGTCTCCTGTCAGATGTCAAATAGACATTTACAGAGGCGGACAAAGTACTCAATTCCATTACTTGAGTGAAAGTACAGATACTGCTGGTCGAATATTACTCCATTACAAGTAAAAGTTGTAAAGACAGATTTTTACTAAAGTAAAAGTACAGAAGTACTTGCTTTTAAAAGTACTTAAGTACCAAAAGTAAATTTCCTTTTTTTATGTTTTATTGTTGTACGTAATACTTGCAATACTTCTGAAGCAACTTAGAATACATTACACCTGCTGAATACACTGACTAGCTTGTAGTATCTTTGGAATAGTCTGGACATTTATTAGAATGCATTCTGAGACGTTTATCAGATTACAAAGCAGATGTTTCCCAGATCTTTAGCAGACGTCTTACAGATGTACTTGTACTGTCTGGGTAGTTGAGATGCAGATACAATTAACTTTTATTACTGTCATTCATAATGTCTAAATATAATTTAATAAATACAATATATATATATACATATATTAGGGAGTGGAAATGGCTAATAAGCCTACAAGTACTTCTCTGCAGCCATCTACTAGTGGTCATTTAATGTCTTTTTTTATTTTTAAATAAACGTTTACTTTCCTACATTATGAAACTATTAGTTGTATAAATGGGGCAACCTATGAAGGATGAACAAATAATGTCATCACATTAAAAATAACTTTCAAATTCGGTAATACTAAAGCTTTGAAGTGCTGGGAAAAGTTGAGTGAAGCATTTAAAAACACTTGAAAACATTAGACCATTTCTGCCACAAGTTGTTCC